ACCCCGTTGTTCCCATTCAGAGTAGGACAGGTAGCCTTGGGTTCGAGGTATCCTGCAAGTCAGTGGCTTCTTGCAGGGCGAACTGCCTGCAGCCGGTTACCAAGTCAATTGGGGATCATCATTACCGGGAATGGACACCAAAAATACATGTTTGATTTATATGGATTTATATTGATTTATATGGATTAACAAATTAGTTGAAACAACTAAATGCGTTTGCTGAGGCTGACTGCCAGTGATTCATTACCGTAAATGCGGGATGACTTCAGGATCGAGAGCACTTCTTTCATGGTAGTGCTGTGATTCTGAATGGGAGGGCTTGAGCACAAACTGAGACAACTGCATGCAGCCCTCTCCTTGGACAAAACCATACAAAGTGGCGCTCCATAGTTAGCTATGTTAGTTTATAATTGAGCAGGTTAACTGTCGGCTTTATGGTAGATATATAGCTATAGTTGATGGAAGTTGATAGGGGTTTATAGCTAACAATGGGGGGGGCACAACCTTATGTGAACTTCTGACCATACTGCCTCTCCACATAATTCTTGTCGCTTAAACAGTCTCCAGTTCAGCTAGTCAAATCCCACTGATTGAAGTTCATCCGAATGTCTGGTGAAAAAAACCTTATTTCGGCGCAATATCCGGTGATAGACCCACTTAGCATGTTTGATCCCATTGCTTGATGAGTTTCTAGTCGCAGTTAAATCCAAATTCTACCGCAATCATGGGTGTTTCCTGTTTCAAAAAACACAGTCATGGACAGAACATGACAGAACACATACGAAAACCTACTACTATTTGTGGCTATTCCCATTTATAAGTTATAAATTGTTATAAGTTATAAGTCATAAAGTCATACGTAATAATATGTAACATTATTAATCCATATTAACCCATATTAGCGTATGTGGGTCATAGCGTATGTGGGGAGAGTGTAACATTCTTAATCTATATTAGTCATTATTAGTCCATATTAAGCCCACCACAAGAGTTCCTCCCTCCTCTCCATGCTCCGCCCAGGCGCTGGATGGTCTCTGTCTGGTTCTCCCAGCCGCCACCGTCCGTGGGCGCCAGCAACACCACCTGACCTTGGCGACGGAACGCTGGGGGAGCCATGGAAGGCAACCCTTGAAGTGGTGCTGATGTTTGATGGGACATATATGGGGACATAAATAATCCAAAAACATACATCAAACCATGAGTATAAACTATAAACTATAAACTATATGATAAAACATGAAGTAAACCATGATCAACCATGGTAAATGCACATATAAGATGATGAACATGATAAGCCATGATAAAACATCGTATTGGGCAATCATTTTGTGAGGATCCATGTTGACCCATGTGGGTTAGATGTATAGGGATAACCCCATCATTATTGAGCTGTAAAACGATCCTATTACATGAAAGCCAAATGCACACCCAACAGGTTTGTCAGAATTGAAAAAACAGAAGATAGTGACATGGACTGTGACCGGGACAGCTTCATTTTGTTCACATTCTGTTTGTGTTTTACTTGGAGTATGATTCGGTCCTCAAAGTACCAAACAAATACGGAAATGCTGCGGGAAAAATGATCTTTATTGGTGAAACGAGGATCAAAGAGCTTTTGGCTTGGAATTTGTACGTTGGACCTACCGGACATGGACCGCATAGTGGCATCCGCAGATTCCACCCGTCGCCCAGTTTTAGTCAGGACACGCTTGTCCATACTCCAAACGAAGGCCTGGTACAGGAAGGGCCCCCAATGATACGCATGTTGGGGTTGTAGTTCTGAGAGAGTTCCCTGTTCAACTAAGAGAGTACCTATCAGTCCTTCCTACGACAAACCCCAGATTTCTTTGGTCACACTAACCTCAACACATCAACGAACCAACATGAACCAACAATCTTCCGCGCCGCGAACATTGCTGCCTTGTTCCCCCCGCAGAAGCTGTTCTCCTTAGATGACAAAGATGCAAGAATCATGGGGTCATTCATTCCCTCTGACTCATCTATTGCTTTTTTTGGGGGGCTAGTGCCCTACCTAGTCCACCAAGGTATACTGCGGTATACTAGTCACTACTAATGCAGGGAATCAAAGGTTGATATGAATTATACATTCTGGTAGTTAGACAGTTAGTTAGTCCTTTACCCCAGCAAAATCTGTGCAAATGGCTCAAGAGGATACAAGTGTTGACCACATTCCATGCACACGACACGTCAGTGTCGTAAGTGAAGGGCCCGTACAAGGACTTGAGCCGAGTCTGCCTGGTTTTCGGCAAACATCTAGATTCAACCAGACTAGGCGACTAGGCCCAAGCACTGCCTACTGCCTACCATTTCTCAACTTGTCGGGATCTGGAACAATGTGGCGTTGACCCCACATTACCTTAGCAAACACCGATGTGATGTGGGATATAAATTGATGACAACCCTTATATCCCTCTCATCGACAAAGTGGACCATATCAAATGATCAAACATGGGAACTATAATGTGGTTAAAAACAAACATAAACCATCACCCAAATCACCATTTTTATAGGTGGTATGGTTACCATTCCCAGTCATGGGTGGTTTATGACATTGTTTTACCCACATTACATTGAGAGAACACGCCGAGCATCCACGTCAGTGAGAGTTTGGACAAACGGACTCACCTCACACCGCAGGGGCAACCAGAGTATCTGTGTGGAGTGAATGAACATGCTCTGATCAAATCGAACATGTTTTTGACAGAACACATCATAGAACCGTCATGGCCCGCCAAGACTCCTCTTCAACAAAAACATCTTCGGAGGAAGAGATATGATATTCCTCCAGTTATGGCTTTCAGAAATCGCGGTCATCCATCAAATCGAGGCCTGATTAGCTAGCTATATCATCATCCTGCAAAAAGCATCCTTGGGCTGTGGTGGCTCTAGAAACCGGGCTATCATGTTGGCCGTGTTTTTTGGAACCCTGACCATTCGATGTGTTTTTTTGGAACCCTGACCAGACTACTTGGGGCAAAGCCGGTCAGAAGTTGGTTGCGTTTCCGCTTCAAAAAAGAGACAATCTTGCTTGGAGACTTTGACAACTCAACAAGGGTTGCTCGCATGTCCGTTTGAAGACATGCCGTTCGCTGATACCACATTTTCATTCTCCCAAGGATGATTACACGCATTTCCATTTCCAGTTTGGTCACATTCATCTTTCCCCATGAAACCAACTTCAAGGTCCCCAGTGCAAGGCACCATGGAGAAGTAGATCAAGAGGGTCAACCCTGGAATCCTGGGATTACCCGACAATCGGGATGGAGAAAAAAGGGTTGCTGAAAGCCGCTAAACGCATGTGGATAAAAGCCGGATTAAACTTAAACTCAACACATTTCGAATTTACATGTATCGTCAGTGGAACCTTTTAGTCAAAAAATGAAACACTGTATGATGAGCTGCTATCAACCCAGCCAAAGCAGAGATGAAATCAGTTGAGATGGCATTCGAATCACAAATTAAGCGCCATAAGGACAAAATGACTGGTCACGTTCAATGTATATTCATAATGTGGTTCTGCGACATTTGCCTCAAACTCAGCGGATGTTTAGACTGGGACTAACACTACAAACCCTTGAGCGAGTAAGAAAACATGCTAAAATGGACTAAAGTTACTATATAAAGCGTTTGCATCTTGTGTGGATTGCCAACAAATGCCCCGTTGTGAGTATATAAATCCTCCTGAATGCAAGTTGAGCCTAGGCTATTTCAACTAATTTCATAAAATCATAAATCAATCCAGGTATCCTGGATTCTACTGGAATATTCTGAAACGTACAGCAACCAACATTCCAATATTCCATGGCAATCACACCCCCCAACAAAAAACTAGCAGTGGCACATGGAAAGTGCGGCCTAGCATCAAGAACGTCATGGTACTAGACTTTGCGTCTGCACCACGGAATCGCGGAAATGCGGGCCTTACGAGGCGTTTTGGCTGAGTGGTGGGGTGGATGCTTTGCTAAACTGACCTGTCCATTGTGAAAGCCAAATCTGCCACAAACTGGTGGAAAAAAAGTGTTGACTCATTTCTCAAAAAATACATTTGGAATCATTTGGATGCAAAGGACACCTGTGAACCAGGTTGATATGACAATAAGCAAACGGGTCTTGCGCCCAGCTCAAGAGGTAGAACTTCACCCAACTGGCAAGCAACAATTCACCCTGATCTGGCGTAAATGTGGGAGTCGATCCAATCAAGGCAAGCAATCTGAAAAGGTTTCGAACCCCCTCCACGTTATCAAACAAAGATCATCCAGGACTGAACCGCAGGGAAACTAGAACCAAAACACAAAACATCACAAAACCATATATGTCATCAGAATCATCTGTGTATGATTATTGGAAAACAACGTATCCGTTCTCACATTTCCCCAAGTACACAAACTAAACGTCCCACTCTTCCCAACCCTCTGTCCCCACCACAGGCTGCCATGGCGCATGGGCAGTGGGTCCAACTGATGCACCAAGTGCCGTCCAGGTGTGGTGGCTAAGGCGTCGAAGAGCAAATCCTCAGGCAGCTCGGGCTGGGAGGATCAACGTTGAGGGGCGGACCAAAAAGGAAGTTTCATTGGGTTCCTACGGCATTGTTTTCAGGTGAAAAAACGTGGGGAAGGATATGTTGTGTCACTTTTTGTTGGGAAAGAGTGAGATCGGATTTCATGGTCTTCTCAGCTAGCCTGGATCATGTGTGATCTAATGTGGCATTCATTGAGAAAACCTTGGCAAATGTATCTCCAGCTGATGGCCGCTCTTCAAGAATAGGCCCCCCGCAGTTGAGGTGGATCCAATAATCTTATTTTCTAGCTCCTTCCTGTGGGGTAGAATCTATGAATCTGCAAGACACAGACACAACTAAATATGTTAACACATGGCCCGCCTATAGGCTAGATCTAGGCTGCCCAGGCTTGGCTAAACTGTGCGTGAACACAGTAAAAATATGTAGCACATTTCCGCATCCTATCCTTCTCTGACCAGTTTTTCACTCCGAAGGCGAGTCTGACAACCAGGTCGGGTTCTCAAGTAATTTGGGCAGCCTTTGGCACTTTCAACTGCTCAGCCCCAAAGAATAGTTGCAATATGCTGACACTGGTGGTTGGATAGTTTTGTGAAAATGGTCTCCAAAGCTTGTGATGGGCTCAGTTCATGTGCAGGTCCACCAAGGCAAAGATTCTTTCCTGAACATTCAGTTTGCATGCCTTGGGAAGACAATCGCAAGGAAGCGTTGTGCACAAAAATAAAGATACCCGAAGGGCTGTAAATTGCAAGTAGGAGTTCATCGAACAAATCCTCTTTAATAGCTCTGAAGATGCATTGCCATCGTTGGTTTCTTGCATTGAAGCATAGTTTGGCGTGCTTTGCTTCAACTCGTGTCTTGTCACGGATCCAATCAAAGGTTGCGTTGCCACCATGGCGAGCAGTGTCTCCTAAATAATGTTCACGGCCTTGGGGCAAAAGGAGCGTGCTTTTTCTATGCAGCTGTTTGTCAACCTCAAATACAAGCTCCTGCATCAACAGCCCCCGTGCAGCTCCATTCACAAAGGCCAGCGGAGTTTCACTGTAGAATGAAGCACCAATGTCGCTATCTTCTGAAAGTAGCTCTTGAATTGTCGGATTGCCAATCTGACAGTATCCAATATCCATACAGCTGCCTTTCAAGCAAAGACTGCGCACAATTTGATTGGAGGCAGCTTTCCAGCAAGTCTGTTTCAAGCTTCCAAACAATCGAATGATATGGCCCATTTGCTCCGTGCGCTGGCCATCTCTTGAAACACCCGTGCTCAGATCATGCTTGAAGAGATGCAGCCCACCTGGGGTCAGCAGCGTGATGTACACGTCGTCAAATGCTGATTTGTTCCGGCACCCTGGGAATTGCAGCTTTATCCTCTCTCCACGTGACTTCCCAACGAGAGCGATTAAAGCACAACTGTGCACTCTTCAATTCGACTCGCCTTCCTCCAAACAGCACATCATACTCAGCGTTGTGTGTGGACCGCTTCATACCATTAATGCATTGTCCCAAATGCGGTTGAAGCATGGATAGATAAGGGTATTTCTCTGCCAAAAATCGCTTTGCCCACTTTTGCAACAGAAAGCCTCTTCTTGCATAGCTCAAGGCAGCCAGTGGGTTGCCAGCATACATTTGCTCAGTCAGACTCAACTTGCCAAGTATGTGCTGAAACTGGGACGCCCGCAACGTGAGGGCAGCAAAGGATCTAGCTCCTGAAAAGGAAGACACTTTGATCCACGTGAAGGCAGCCATCATGTGACAATGTGGGCCTACTTTCCAGATCCACCAACAGTGAGTAGATTAGGACATGCTTAGACAGTAGACATCTTGGATTCTGGAATTCTGGGGATGCAACCACAGAATATACATATCTGGGTTTGTCTGAGAATGGGGCATCCCTAAAATCCAAGACCCCCAAAACCCATGGTTTACCTTTATTTCCCCATGAAAATCGCTAGTTGGGGTACACCACAGTTTCAGTCAAACCCATGTTTCTTAGCTGCCTTGGAATTGGATGATGTGATTGAGCCATGTCGAAGCATATATATATATAATTATACATAATTCATAGTTTGACTCTACCACACACAAGAAAAGGTCAAGAAGAACATGGTCTTCTTCAATCCATGCAGATCAAGGGGAATGTTTCTCAAGCAATCTAGAATCTCCAGAAATCATTGAGCCACAAGAAGACATGGGCATGGGCAAGTCCAGGAACATGTCTCCCAAGAATGGGTTTGCCTTCCGGTCTGTCCCATTTTAACAACCCATTAGCTCCTTTACTCCCTTCACAGCATGTTTCACCTAAAGAAATCTCAACTAATACGAGTGTTCAATGGTTGGAACACAAACAACCCATGACTTGACGAAACTGCGAACACATCCACGGTGCATTACATACCTTGACATTTTTTCCATCAGACTCAGAATCTGGTCACACATGCCACTACTCATCTTGTCTTAGTCTTGTTTCCATAGGATCACTTTTGTAATCAATATATATATATAACAGTTATATTACTATATAACGGCCAAACGAATTGCACATGAAGATAGACCTGTGCCCAGCCAGTAGTGTGCATGATGCCAAGGTGCATCAATATCCAAGATGATACCTTGGACTTGGCACAGGACAAGCTTCACCTTTTACTGGATTTCAATATAGATTGTATCAGACTGGTCAGCTGTCTGCAGAACCTGAGAATTTTGTGCTTGTCAGTTGGATAGAACGCTGCCAACCAAGAATGCAGCGTAACTGATATTTTAGAAGCCCGTTGCAACAACCTTTGCCAGTAAAGGTGTCCTTCAAGATGATCGTTTCACTTCATAACGTTTGGTAAGTAGCGCTGCTACACAATTGCAGCAGAGTTAGACGTTGCAATATGCCGGGGTCTTTCCCCGTATTTCCCCATAATAGATTGGGTGAAGCTGTTGTTTACCAACAAAAACAAATGGGTCAATCAGATTTGCCAGGAAGAGTCATCACCCACCAAAGGTGCAAGGAACATCCCGTCCGCATCTGGGCAAATTCCCAATGCCCAGAACTGGCGAATAGTGTACCTGAATCTTTTATGGTATTCCTACGAGTGGCAACTGTACTAGAAGTACTTCTAGTAGTGCTGAAAGCAACGTGTGTTGTGAAAGTCTTCATCAAATGAAACTCACAACAAGTGCTGCAGCACAATTGTTCCGTAAAACAACCATCCAGATGGGGGGCGTTCTTTGAATGGGCAAGTCCCATAGGTTTCAATACTAAATCATGGTCATCCATGACTTGCATGATTTGAGGGTACCCCTATGACTTCGGAAGCCTCCAAATCCATCTCCATCCCATTTTCAAGCACCAAGTGACCCAAGGCCACCGCGTTCAAAATGAGCTCCGTCACATTTACGGTATAAACCTCTTTTTTCAGAGTGAGGAGTGTTGGGCTGAAACAAACTGCTGCCATCCAGGAAGTATATCTTTTCATCCTGCTGTATGATGGTTGTATGGACAATATCGGCTGTTCCGCATGGCTGATATCAAAATTGCATAAAATTGAAAGCCATGTCTTTCCCTCTGAATACTTCCAGCTATACTCTTTATGCAGATTAACTTGCAGACATGCCGGAAGGATGGTGCAATCAATTCAACTGCAAGCTCGGGTGATGTTCGAAACCCTACAAACAAAGTTAAATGGGAACCGCAACATTCAAAATTCATTGTGTAACGACGTGCAAAACGAAGCACAATTATGGGATTTGCTTGGGCTTCAACTATCATATACTATCATATCATGCAATGTCAAAGGGATTCAACAAACCCTCCAAAGACGCCCCGAGTGATGACTGCTTCTGAGTGGTTCTGTTCTTTTTGGGGGGCCCTCTATACACCATGACAAACCGTTATCATGGGGGATTTGGGGATACTTTTGTAACCCCGTTGTTGGCGCGTTCACCCCAAATGTAAATGGCCCCTATTTGGATATATGAAGGTTTCCTAAAATGAGGGTACCCGTAAATCATCCATTTTAATAGGATAGTCCCTCATGAACCATCCATTTTGGAGTACCCCCATCTTTTCTGCATTGAGCATCAAATTGGGCTCGGCCAAAATACCAGGAAGAAGGTCCCCACGTAGATCAGAAAGCCCGCAGCCACCAGTCCTCAACGATCCAGCGGACATGGTGCGGTTTTGATGGCACAAAGTTATATATATATATATGCCCTATAGATCCTAAGTACGTTCTTAGACAGTGATTGGGCTGTAAGACCATTGTAGGACACAGTTTGTACCCAAGTCCATTCTCAGAACAAGTTGGAAAATCATTGATTTTACAAAATGCATGATTTTGAGATAATCACACTAAAATACCCCAAGTTGACCATCCAGATAGTTATTTTGATCCATCCTGACCCATTATCATCTCAACCAACCGCTCTGCCAATGACTTCATCAAGCGCATTGTGGCAGCCCCCATTTTCCACTCCCCTTGTGGCTCGCTTGGGTCTCAGCTATCGAAGAAAGACGTATCGCCCTTGTTGGTCAGCCTTGGATTGGTAAAAGCAAGCTGTCCAGTTGCTGAGATAGGGGCAACCCGTTATGAGGCTAGATAGGACACTGTTTTTCAGGAAAACAAGTCGTAAATAATTCCCCCAGGTGCACTTCAATCCATTTGCCCTTATGTGCATATAGGCAACCCAGTGTACCATCGAATGATTGCCATCATCTCCATACTCTGGGGCTTCGATGCAGCGCAGCATTGTTTGATACGGCCAATAAAATCTTCTGTGTGAAAAGAGTGGAATTTCCTGCAATTGAGTCCTTAGGCAGGCTAGGGAGATGGAGGTACATAAACATTAGGCACCCAACTATTTCAATTGCAGGTTTTTTTTTGGGAAAAAGGAAAATGCATATGAATCTCTTAGGCACTGTCAATCGACTGCTGTCGGACCATTTCCTGAAGGCCCTTAGCTCAATAAAGATGCCAAATAAAAATTGCAGTGAAAGAAATTGTTGAACATGGTAGAAAAGGGAAATGAAGGGATACTAAAATCAACAAATTAATAAGTATAGTCTAGAAGCATGCCACTTTGGGCGAGCTGGCCACATCACACGGCCATCTTCCAGAGCTTTCACTGCCAAGTTGATGTATGTACTGATGCATCCATCCTAAGGGCTGTTGGACGTAATAGCTGAAAATAGACTGGGCCCTGCAGCCACAATAAGGCATTCTAGGATGTTGGTTTTGATTGCCCCAAACCTCAACAGTACTATATGTTGAAATTGTGGGCACCAACCTGGTTTTGTCACATACTTCACCAAGCCACCGATTGGTCCTGTAAGAGCTTGGCCGTCTCCACTGTCAAGTAGCGACCACTGTTCTCTGAGGTCTGATGGAAAGCAGCCATGTAGCACCTTACTTCGAGCGCTTCCAACCAGGAGTAACCAAAGATCTGGAACGGGGCCCCAGGGTTCAGAGGAGGGTCTAGCTGGATTCATCATTCAACATCGCATCAGCTGATTGGCTAACAAGATGACAGCCAAACTGTGGGTGCTATTGGAGGCCCCATGATGGCAATCGCATCGATCCCAACTTCTTCCCTTGGGGGCAATGGGCATGAGGAGGTTACAAGATGCCCCTCGTGCAGACTACCACGAAGCTGTGTCAATGGCTAGTGGCCTGGACTCTCGAAAAGTCACGGCTCCAATGTCTGGTGCGCAAGGCGAACACAAGTGGGTCATGGTCCGTCCTTGCCCCTTGACTGGCGTTGGAAGACTTTCAGGCCACCAGTGGGTCATTGTCGTTCGACAAGACATGGCTCAGAGCGAATTAAACAGGGCTCTTACCACTTGTGGAACCTTTTCGATTGCCCATGGAGGATGAACCGGAGAAGGCGTTCAAGAGACAGGGACTACGAGTTTGTGTGTTTGCTCTTGGGTATTTTCCCCATTTTCCTTACTGTGGACCCTCATTGTGATGATATAAATATGGATAAAAGTAGTACTAGTATATGATAACCACCAGTACCAGCCCATACCTGTAAGCCAAGGCACAAACAATCCCTCATCACAGAGAGACTTTGGTATTGCAGATCCCGGCAAAGATCCTCCAAGAAAGCTGCCATCCATGCCACACAAACTCTTGCCTGACATAGTCATTGATGGGCGATGGACATTTTTTTTTTGTGGGAGATTGCATACCTAGACCCAGATATAATTAGGGCAAATACAGAAAATACATTGCATTCCAGCAGCGTTCCAGGCTTTTGATTGGAGTTCTGGATAGGGATGTTGACGGCTTGTAATGGTCTTTGTTGCGAACTTTCCCATGGAGTGCCTGGATTCTGACATAAGTCCCTTTGGTAATTCCCACTATTACATAGACCCAAATTAATATATATATGAGAACTATTACTGGGTATAAAATGGTATATATAGTGGGGGAAATACTTAAGCATAATTGCCGGTTAGAACTATTGCTGGGTAGAAATAATGGGGGAAATGCTTAATTGAGCATAATTGGTTAAGCTCAAGAATATCCAATTGAATTCATGGGTCTAACAAATTTAAAAAGCAACTGGTGGTACATAACCGACAAATTTGTAAACCCAAGTGGCTGCCACTTGTTTTGCCGAGCCCACTGCTTAAACTCATACCAAGCGTTGAGGAGACGTTCATCATCACAGCCATCCCCAAAGACAGTCGTATCAAGTAGCAGGGTTTTGAGGGCATTGCCAACCAGCCATAAATCACATCCAAGATGAATCACATGCATCGCACACCATTTGATCATACTCATCCGGAAATAGGGAATCTGCAGCAAAGGACCTAGTGGGCAATTTGTCCAGAGGGAAACATGTCCCTAATTAGTACGTATAACTTTTGAAGTGGAGATATAAACAGATAAAGGCTTCATTGACCCTGATGAAAACAAAATAAAGTTCAGGCCAGGAAACAAATATTTCCTGGTTTGATGCAATGACCCCAGAATTCATCAATCGAATACCTTTCAGCCTGTAAGGTTCGTCGCATGTAGGTCTCTTTGTCAGCTTTGCACTCATGACATATGAGTTTGCATTGGAAAAAAATTTTGAGGTTAAGCCATTCCTGCAGGGTTGGCAATAGATCCCAAGTTCAACACAGTTTCAACAATAAGCGGATATTTTTTTTCAGCCCCAAAACTAGGCCACACCCAGCCAGTCCTTTTGGAACTTCCAATCGCCCCGAATTTCCGTCAAGCAGAAGCGATGTGTGTTCCCATTGCACTGGATCCCATCAAAGAGGAGCTCAAATGATTTCACCACCTCATCAGTGGACCACAGGTTTGGATTGAGAAGATGGATTTACAAAACATGTTTGCTACAGCGGTTGGTAAGTCCCATATAGCCCATACTCCCATGGAATATTTTCTAATATTAATAAGTGAACACCTTAAGATTGGGAGGTATTTGTGGTGGTAACCCCCAAGGAATTCGGTTTAAATAATTCCTACATCCAAAATGGGTCCAATAATAAAGCCCACCCTTTTTCTGATTCCGACAGATAAAAACCAATAATGGTATGTCAAGGCCTACCTGCTGATCCTTCTCTCCAGCCTCAAGACCCACACAGGACAGCTCTTGTGCAGACCAGGGACGGGTTCCAAGTAGGCTCGGATAGTTTCAAATCCACAGCTCATCTCCTGGGCATGGCGCATGAATGATGTAGTACACCATTAGCAAGTCCAGGGCAAATCAACCCAAAAATCAAATTAAAACAAACACATGTGGAGCTCAATGCATTCAAGGTTCCTCCCTGCAAAGAATTACTGGGAAACATTTCTTGATAGAATCAGTTTCATCATCAAGTACACTCCCAAAGCAGATCACGATTATGTTTTGGTCTTTGCTGTAGTTGGCTGCATCACCCCACACCCAAAGTGGATGGTGAATTCCATTCGGAGAAACATCAGCTATCTCTGCTTTGACTTCCTTCAGGTGGTTCCAGTAACGTTTGATCTTTCGATCAGGAATTTCAGGCCATAGTTTCCGGTACATCAGCCAAGGAATAATCTCATCGGGGCATATGTATGGCATCATCCTCAACTAATCAGGAGAACCACCCCAGGCTCATGAAAAAAATATATGACATCCTAATCAAAGGAAATAAACCAAATAATGAACATATGTTAATCTTCGGATTCCAAGAAGCTGGGGGCTATCATCCCATCCATCTTCTCCATAATCCCACAGGGGAACATTGACCCATTGGATTGGAGCCTTTCTCCGGTGACAAGTCAGGGTTTCGAAAGAAATTCACAGGGGATATTTTCGTCACTTAGCATTTTTCTTGGGAAAATATGTTGCACTAAATGATGCCAGAAAAAACCAAGGGACTCGGTGATCATAATTCATATCCCCCATCTTTCGGAACCAGTCACGTTTGACATTGTTCAGATGGCGTCCCGAAGCTCCAGCTTTCAGTAGATCAGCAGCTGGCCCCTGAAGTTGGCAGCCTTGAAACTCAAATTCCTGCCACAAGAGCAAGTCACAATGATCACAATGGATGTGAAGACGGATACAAATCATGTCAGACTACATGTTCATTTTTTCAGTTGGCATGATGCAAGATGTGAATCACATGCTGCCCTTGTCCTTTCTCACATGGTTGACGATCTCATGGGCTTTCCGGTAAGAATCCTTGGCTTCCCCCAGCGGCCCACTTCACAACAACCAGCATGCACCAATCCTCCATATTCAATTGACTAAGTTGGATCAGACATATATTTACATTCCTTATACATTCCTTGAGATAAAGTTCCTTTAAAGTGTAAATTTATTTGCTGGTAACCAATCCCAACAATATATGCCACCAAGGGTCACTGCCAAGTCCACTTTCCCTCAGGACGAATGAGGCCAGTGGAGAAGTCTTGCATCCTGCATGCAATCGACCTGCGGAAGGGGGTGATGAGCACAGGGCAGCCATACTAAAAACCATAAAATATATCATAGAAACCCCGTGGATGAAATTGCTTTACCCGAAGATCCCTAATCCAGTGTTTAGTTGCTTGACTTGTTGGAAATTCCCATTGAATTATTTTGAAACAGTTGGATCCATAGGGTTAAAGGTCCTCGGGTGTATACAGGCCTAGCTATCGATATATTATCTCAAGATAACATATGGCATTTGTGAAATTATTAAGTAACCGGTTGCACCGTTTGAAACTCTGATTCATAAGCAGGGACAACTAAAAGGATGACCTGTATCATCAATACAAGGATTAGCTTGGATCTGATTTTCCAGAAGCCACCAAAATCACAGCAGCCCATGCTTTAAGTTAGTTTCCCTTTTCCACCAGAGTAGGTTGGGCTCCAAGACACATGGCGCAAACGGGCCACTAGTATTGAGAGATGGTTTCACCTCTGTCCACAAATGCATTTTCAGCTCTTGTGCCTGCACAGTTTTCTGTTCCATCAAGGTAATGGCTTTAGCAACACAATCAGGAAGCTGAAATTTAAGGTACTGAAATCCAAACTGCTGAAACCCAAATAGGCATCACTAGCTGAGCAATGACATTTGCACACCCCCAAGCCGCTGTGAAAACCACACGAGGAGATGCAAAATGAAAATTGTTTTCATGGGAAAAAACAAATTCGAACACAGGAATCGGCTATCGAAGATGTTTCCGCAACATGCAACAAGCTTGACATGGTAGTGGCTTCCATCTTGCGATTCGGATGACCTACTACATGGCCATTGATGGCCTCCTCGTGTGATCTCCCACACGCACATGACTAAGTCTTGGTGGACCACTGAATCTCCACTCAACAAAAGGCTTCTCTCTTTTGGGCCAGAGTTGTCAGATTAATGTTAACATTTTATAATTTAAAGATAGATCATAGAGGAAATATGTTTGCAAATGTATTGGAAGAACAGGGTAACTATTAGATTGGTGTATAGTTAAAACAAATTTGGCACATGACCACTGGGTTCACATGGAACAATTGGTCAGATATTGTAATATATATATAATTAAATATATATTTTTTTACTGGTACCATATGCATCCACTAGCTTGACATGGGGCAATCCCTTAATAGGTCTGTTGAAAATGGTTGGGAAATGGTGTGTACCTCTGGCCCAGTTCCAAAATCCGCACGGTTCACCGCTCACATCCAAGGCTGCACGAGCTCACAAGATCGACATCAGCTCTATGCCGCTGCTTTGGCCTTGGCCTTGGCTTTCGGCTCCTTTTTCGCCGGTGGGTCCTGAGCAGAGATGAGGAAAGGTTGGAAATACCATAAAACAGTTGGGGGTTACTTTCCCAAATGAAATTATTGTACCCCAATGGATCCAATAAGCCAATAAGATAATTTGAATATTATGAGGAAGGTTATTTGTAATTTGGACACATAAAAGGAATGAGGGTATGGAGTTAGCCTAGGCACAATCGCCAGCTTGATGCTCTTAATGGTACCATTGAACGATGTAAAGGCAGCTTCAACATTGGCCAAGTTGGTGGTCAGGGTTTCCATCAAAGCCGTATCCTCTTGGATTTCCTTGTCATTCTTACCAAGGGTTTTGGCATATGTGCTCTCCAGGGCAGTCTTAGCGGATGTAATGGCATCCTTTCGGGCACCAAGTTCAGCTTTGAACCCAGAAAGCAGTGTAGCCGACCTCTAAATGGATTTTGGTCAAATAACAAAATAGAAACTTAATCTTATCATCGATCCCAGGGACAAAGGTTGAAAAAAACACATACAAAATGTTTTGGTTTCAACAAAGATGGACAGGGCTGTGTTGTCAGCGACTTTCGCTTCCCAAGCCATCACTTCTGTAAGTTTTGTTGCACTAGAGCTGATCTTGTTGGTCACCTTCTTGCTGAGTGGTATGACCTTTTTGATCTTTTCAACTGGTGCGGGTGGGGCCCCTCCATTCCCAGAGCCCCCTGGCTGCATGCCCAGCCCCGAAGACTGGAACTTGTCGACGTCATTGCCAACAACAACTTGCCTTGGATAGTTAGCATGAGCAACAAAGGATAGCAGGTTGAACAAAGAATGGCAGGTCTGACCAATCTTGAAGGGTTCCACCTAAGTGCAGACTAGGCACATGGCTTGACGAGTCTGGGATGCATCCAGCTCGCCACTCGCAACGATGCCCATCGAAAGGTCATCGGTGACCTCATCTTCATAGACCATCGAATCGAAAATCCTCACCATCTCAAAGTCCTGAAGCAACAGCAGGGCATGATTAGGATACATAGGAAAATTGGTACAGGGTTGAACTATATGTTTTAAAACTAACAAAAACTTGTTTTTTCGAACTACTGAACCTCATGTGCAACATCAGGATGCTTCATCCAGTATGTCAAGCCATCATTCGCATCTTTGGTTTCCTCCTGTTGTTTTTTCCTGAAGGATTTGTTTTCCCAGGGCTGCTCCAAAACGAGTCTTCAAAGTCCTATAGTCCATCATGATGTACTTGCCCTTGCGGCGCTGAGCCAAAGTCCGACTGGCATTGACCACAATTGAAGACCGAAGCCAGTCTTCACCAGCCGAAAGCCATGTTTCAAACAACTCACCAATGAGCTGTCGATCTTAGTGATGTTGTTTTTTCACAACAAATAGATGAAGGGAAACCAAGTAGATAATTTCAAATCCCAATGTTTGACCATTCTCAAAGAAAAGATCATAATAAATGGCACCACTACAAACAGTTCATCACACATTGTTGTTGAAAATCAAAGCCAAGTAGCTGTGACGTTTGCCCTTTGCCTTCTCAAGTACAGCAGGTGGACAGCGATTGCCTCAGATAATGGCACCATTTTAGAAATTTCAACAAGACACAAAGGTCCAGCACCACCCCACTTCAAAACAAGATACTTTGCAGAGACCTATGGAATCGCATCTTCGCATTAATCGCAAGTCTTCGATCATGCTCATCTTGGCTTTCTACCCTGCCACCTGGACCCAAGTAGGTTGTAACCTCCTGACTCTCTCTGCGGTCAATGGTTACCTGGGCCACAAGAGTTCTCCCTTTGAAAATTGGCTCAAAAATAAATAAAGTACCTAGAAGCTAGGAGTCTAAAGGGCAAAATGTTGAAATGACCAATCAGGTTATGATACACGGGCTGGAGCAGATGCTTCCAACTGGGTTGTATCCTTTCTCATTAGCATGGTGGTCTTGGCGATGACATGGGGAGGGGTTGGTAACTCATGACCAGGTTCCTTCAGGGTTGCCGCCCACACAAGGGAAACCACTCATCACCACAAAATCTACAAACTATCCTCACCACTATGAACCCCAATTTGGTGCTATAAGTTCCAGGTACCACATCGAAAAGTTACATCCATCCAGGGCCCAGCACGATAAAACATGATAAAACCACCTATTCCGGTCCCTAATAATTATTGTTTTTTAAAGGTGCCAATCAGTACCATATGCATAGAATATTTTTGTATATACAAATGCATAAATTATTTGAATATAAAAAATACTGATGATCATATTGTATGTGTGAAATTCTGGATTCATACAGGGGACATTAGGGAACAGAATTGCTGGGTTTCATTTAGTGGTTCATGTCCTGAAGCCCTCCATCATGCAGCACTTCTCGGTAATCCTCCAATCGCTGATGACCAAGGTCTGTGGCTGGCTCCATGGAAACCTGAGGTTGGCCAGGTGCAGTATGGATGTTGGAAGTGGGCAGGTCTGTCTAGATCTGAATACACATTGGATCATATTGTTTCAATCAAGTAACTCTGGGAGATGACTCCATGATTGCTTCAAGCTCCCCCAAAAGTTCTGGATCAACACCAGCATCAGGGTCATTCTGAGCATGGTCCATCCACGTTGCATAGGCCATTTCAATCATTGCATACAGATGATCTTTGAAATCTGACTCAGCAATGGTACTCTCATCCCTGACGCATTGGAAAGCCTTGTCCAGCAATTGGATCTTGTGGCCCTTCCAAACAACGACGTTGTTCTTGTTCACTTTGAAGAGTGGTGATTCATCCACATTGGAACTACCCATTTTCAAGACCTTCTCACGTTGTTGGGAAATCATAGCATCAGCTGTTGCATTGATTTTCATCAACGACTTGTTGTATTCCCGTTCCTTTTCATTCAACAGCACTTCTTTCTCACTGGCTAGATCTTTCAACTTGACAGCCTTTTCAAGTGCCTCTTTCAGTGAAGGGTCAACAGTGCTGATATCACCTTTGTCCAACCGAACATCTAGCCAGTGACCAATGGGGGCAAGAAGTTGGTCAATGTCAATTTCCTTTTCAGTACGACCATCAAAGAGACACCGGAAGAGCGGCTGGTTGTACTTCAAATCCATGGCTCCCTCAAGCTCAGATGGATCCACATGTCCCAATGGAATGGTTGTCTGGGATTCCAGGTTACGAAGGCTTCCTCGTTCTCCATCCCCATCAACTGAAGAATTCACATTCGGCAATCCTCAGTTATAGGACCCAACTTTTTTTGGTGCAATATGTTGGATTAATTTCAGATCATGATGATTGCTTCAAAATCTATTCGATGAAACAGGATGATATGGAAAGCACCGAGATCATGGCAAACCAGTCCAAGTTTCTGTTGGACACATCATCAGCTGCGTCATTCTCCGACGGCACCTTAGTAAGCTTAAAAGGGTGTGGGGCCTTAAGCTGAGCAACCATTAGGTGATAGTTTATATATTATATATATATTAAAATATTATAATATTAATACATTCAATATACAGATTTCAATGGGGTTACAACATTTTAAGATAATATATATATATATAATATAATATATATATATATACTGTAGGAACCAGGGCACTGGTTTCTCAGCTGACTTTTCAATGGTCGAATCCAGTTGAGTAGGCTCCGCAGGGCTCTCATTGGAATTGGCCACAGACTCCATCTCCCCAGCCAGGCTGCGTTTCAGAAGTTGCCGGTCAGAAGCAGGCTCAGGTGCATTGGGCTTGGCCC